ATAGCTTCATCCCAATAAAATGTGTTTGATCAGATATCTGTCATCAAAGGATGGTTGCACATCAGTTCGCTCAGGAATACACCTATCTGATCAGGGTGTCTTTAACACAAAGGGCCAATCAGAATGGTCTCCTTCAAGAGGATCTGATGGGGAAATTGAATTCAATGGCAGGAAATCAGGTCAGAAAGGTATGGTGACTAATTCTCAGATTCCAAAGGGTTACTCTTGATGGATTTCTGGAAGCAAACATGGAGGCTTATTCTGAAGAAGTCTTAAGCAAACGGCTTCCACCACGACAACGCACAGACAGATTCGTTGAGATCAGCCAGGGCTTTTCTAAGAGAAGCTTGTTGGAAAGCATCCCTTCACACTACAGCTAAGACCTTGACTCTCTTTCTGTTCCCCAAACTCAGAGAACACTTCAAGAGAACAATCTGAGTTTCTTGAAGATGCCCAAACTGCCATTTTGCAGGGTGTAAATCAAAGAGTGCAAAGTTACTTGAGGGAGAGATAGAGAGCCAGATACACTGATTTTAGAAATGTTCAGACCTAGAAGAAGGCTATGTCAAGGAGTTGTTTTATATTTGGTTAATAAAGGGTTCTATAATTTTATAACAATATTTTTATTGACATATAATTCAAGTACCATTCCATCCACTTGTTTGAACATATTAGAGTTGTGCAATCATCACCCCATTTTTGAACATTTCACACTCATTGTTATTAGCTCCCCATTTCTCTCCAGCCTCCCTGTCATAACCCTGAGAAATTATTATTGTAGTTACTGTCTTTATAGATTTACTTATTCTACAGTTCATATAAAGAAAATCATACCAAAAAACCCTTCACTTACAATAACAAAATAAAACACATAAAAACTTCAATCAAGAAACAGAAAATAATAAGAAAAACTAGAACATATGAAAAGGAGAAACAAGTGATGTTAAAATTTAGCTTGACTATGTTTGCATTAATTTACTTTCTGATGTATTCTGTCTGAGGGGAAGGCAATTCACACTCCTAGTCAATGACCCAAGGGAATTCAACCGAGGTTTAATCCATGTGAGGACTCCATAAGTGGATTTTAGGCATTCACTGTGAGCCATTTCCTTCTGCAAATGGGATACAGCAATACACTGCTACTTGGCCTGGCATCATTATCCAGGCTATGTGATGGTGCAGTTGTTAAAGCTCTCAGCTGCTAACACAAAGTCTTGCAGTTAGAACCCACCAGCTTCTCTTTGGGAAACAGATAGGCAATTGGTGTCTGTAAAGATTTCCAGTCTTGGAAACTCTATGGGGGCTTGCCTAGTCTGTCCTATAGGGTCGCTGTGAATTGAAATGGACTAATGCAGTGGGTTTGGTTATTATTATTTTTATATCAGTAGCCAGTCAGAGTACAAAGCTTAGAATACAAGCGATAACCAA